TTTGAGCAAGTTGACGACTATAAGTTTATAAGGCTCTAAGAATGTTTAAACACATAATGAAAACTCAGTAGACATGCAGATTGAACTAACATTTCACTGTAGAATTCCGACTTGACTATGGGGTTGGGGCAGCTGATAGTTCACACCTCACTAACTACTTGTACGGGGTATAGGGAGGAAATGGATGTTCCACTTCCTTGAAAAGACTACCCTATGATACCCTATGTATGTTCACCCATCCCTATCATGCAAGACCAATCTTACTAACATCCGTGAAGGCTTGATAGGGCGTTCACCAGCCAAATCAAAAAAACTGGTCTCCAGCTACTCAAAGGCCTCTGCAGCCAAAGATTTCTGCAACCAAAAGCAAGCACAAGGACATTCTCCCAAATATCACTGGTTCTTGCGAAGGTCTCAGTGAAGTTTCCAGGTCACATCCTGCGACTTGCTTCACCCACCTGGTGCATGGCTGCGGGGGGGCGGCCCGGCGCGTGAAATCTGAGGTCCCGGCGATCGGCATAAATCTTTGCTTTGGAGGACGTGCCTGGAAAGAGTGATGGCCTCAGGCGAAGCTCGGAGCGAACGGATCCGGCTGAAGCTGGACACAAACACCGTGGGATGGTGGGCTGGACTCAAGCGGTCTTTCTTCGAGGTGCGAATTGCGGACATCTTCATGAGGGCCCCACGCATCTGGCGAAGGATCCCACGCCTCCCAGGTGCAAAAGCATAGTGGCCCAAAGGCTGATCATATGATTCATATGATCTATGTGTTGAGGTGAATGAAAACCATCAACAAATCATACAACATCTCAGCAGTAGGTCAAAGTTCTATTCGGTAACTAAAAGGAGATCATGGTGAATAATGGAAACTTGGCGGTTTTCTTTGGAAACTACGTAATCTTCGGGAACTACAAGTAAGAGGTGATCTTCGATAACCAGACGGTTTCTCCACGAATAGTATTTATGTATATTTATGTCAATAGGCCCACCCCCCCCCCCCCCCAAATCCAGCTGCACACCCTAGCCGCGCTCCATGCATGGATGCCATGTGAGGCTTCTGAAGAATATTTGTTGAAGCATTCAAAACAGTTTCTGAAGTTCGCGAAACAGTTTCCGAAGAATGCAAGGCATGTATTGTAGACGTCACAGGGTATGTCAATGAGCCCACCCAGCCCACGATCACGAACCCCATCCAACCCCCAAATCCCCAACCCCCAACTCCCACCGCATACTTTCTGAAGATCCCAAAATAGTTTCCGAAGTCTGAAGATCGCAAAATCGTTTCCGAAGAGCAGTTGCGCAAGAATACCATATAGTTACGGAAGAAACGTTTCAGAAACATGAGGAGTTTCGGAATGGGACTTTGATCCTCAGCCGAGTCTAATATAGTCTAACACACCAAAATGTTTGGTAAAGTCTTGGGGATGCTCCCTTCGATCTGTAGTTGATATATAATAAGTTGTACCCTATACATACTAATTACCGTATGGAACCACCAGACTGGATGAACATCTGGATGGTGGGATCCCTCACCTTGCGTTGTTGGGTGACCACCGAATGCCTTCGTGCGGCACGTGCGCTGCCATACGATGACCACTTTCCATGGCTCTCCCCGCCTTTGTGGCCTCATTGTAGACGACCAGTTTCACCTGTGCGGCGTTCGTCCTAAGGTGAAAACGGAAAAACGGATCGCCCAGCTCGACCGTTCGTCCTGTATATCTTCAAATCCTGTGTCCCCATAGGATGTGGGACCCCAAAAACACCTGATCTGGGTGGAATCCAGCTGGGCGTACGCGGCGACGAAACACGTACCCGATTCCGGACATGTTGCTGATTGCGACGAACACAGGCCCCACCATGCGATTCAGGAGTCATTGCCATAACGCCCTGCAAGAGTTGTGGTTAACGAATGGAAGTCTCAAGCAGATCACATGGAAGTCTCCTTGACAGTCGACCATCCTGCAGTCCCTCATCTTGCTGACGTCAATGGACCCATCTTCCACAAACGATATACAGTGAGACTTGGACCATGTCATTTTAATTTATGTTTATACATTCATTGCATTCTGTATTCCATCGTATTCCTATGATTTTCCTGGATCCTGCACACAAACACAGCAACTCCTGCCGTTTTCACCCGGCAATAGCCTGTGCCCTGATGGTGCCCTGAGTAGCCTGTGACCTGTCCGGACGGCCTGGGTCAAGGCATTCAAGATCTCAACCTCTTTCTCCAGCTCGGTGTTCAGCACCTGGAAGCCAAGCAGCTTAAGAAGCTGCTGCAAGATATGACAAGTGAAAGGAAGATCTCCGGTTGATTGGAAGCTGCAGGTTGAAGCTGCAGTCGTCATTGCAGTCGATCATGCTTGCTGGATTTGATACATTGCCATATATGTTGGCACTTGTACGTACACTTGCCATATGTTTTGTTTTGCTAGGTACCTGAGTGGTGAATTCCTCAAACAGCGGATGGCGCAAACATCCAGATGTCACTCCAAGCCTGCCGGTCAAATTGTGCCGACTTGAAACTTTCCATCTGGCCAAGCAAAGGGTGTGCCCAGCTGGTGAGAGTTTAATGATATGTCAATGAGTGGGTCTGCCATCCCCCTGTGGAACAGCTCTAACTCTAACTGCTCTATAGGTGGGACTGCAATGCGTCGCAGGTTTGCAAGCACGCATGATCCAGCAGAGTCACCCCCCTCGGCAAAGCGGCAAAGGAGACAAACGCCCCACGTTTCCTGACCCACTCAGGACACTCGTCGTGGCGCCGTCGCATGGCGTCGCGTCGCGCGACACGACCTGTCGCTACACTCACAGAGCTACGCTGGATTGAAGGCTTGTCCGACTCACAAAGGGTCGTTCAGAAAGAAGAACGACCTTAGTGGGCGACCGAAGAGGTCGCAAACTCTTGGTGCCAACTCTTTGAGGCGAAGAGTCGCCAGTGAAGCTGAAATATGATGACATCATCGGAGTGCTAGCATTGAGTCAACAAAAAGCGCGGAGGACCATAGGGAAAGAAAATGACATCATGCTGCCATGGTGAAAAATCCAAGAAAAACTGGCCGTGACCCTGCTGCCCTGAGTGACGACCAAGTGGTCGGCTTTCGACTCGCCAAGGACGCCCCCAGGGACCACCAAAGCAGGCTTTAGATGTCCATTGTAATTCCATAGTAATATGTATAGGTGCTGCGACGGTCCCTTAAACTGTAAACACCGAGCTCAAGTGTAGGTTCCCTTGTTTGACCTTTGTTGCAAATCCCTTCTTGCACTGCAAATTCCTTCAAGTGAAACTTGGGTGAAGGGTAAATAGACTCTAAACGAAACCTCGAACCTGGTGTTTAACCCCTGAATGGCAGATTGCAAGCCGACCAGACGACTCGCAACGGAAACACCGACCACGACTCGCATTGAACACCGACCGGACGATTCCAGCGTCCTCGGCCTCTTTTCACAAGAGATTGCCACAGAGAGCGTCAAAAGGCGACAAAGGGCCGGGCCATTGAAATCGGCATTCAATGGGCACATTGAAAATCAAGAGTGCCGTAAGTGCAGTGAGCCACAGTGACGAGGGTTTTGGTTTGCTTCCTCCGAGTCGGCCAATCTTTATCCAAATCTGTATGATTTGCATGAAATCAATCACAAGGTGCTCACATGCCGGAGAAAACGAAGAAATCCCTCCTTCCCAATTGACCCAGCTGCTCTGCTTCTCCCGATGAACAGGCCAAACACCAGCGAGCTCGCAGTGGGCCGGATACATCGGTCAAAGGTCAGTGACACGGACAACAGATGTGATGGATTAGAGTCATCGGTCATCATGATCTGCAGACTTCTGATCGAAACCATAACAGGCACCTTTTTTCCTGCTTTTTGTTTCTTTGTATTTTTTTCCGCAAGGCTGGAACCTTGTTCCCAACATGAGAGTAGAGCATAAACCACTAGATATAACACGTATAGTCGTATAATTGTCGTCTTTTCTTCTCGAGTATCCCCAGGGTTTTTGCCCCTTCCGGTCATCTAGTGGCGTGCCACGTCAGGTCTAAATGCCCGACTCCAAGATTCATGACACTTCTCAAGCGGGGCGCACGCAGTGGCAGGTCCAGACCAGAATGCTACAGGCGCAGGAAAAAGAACACTTTATGTAGGAATGAACTATCCATATCTTATCATTATAAGGACATCCGCCACAGTGAGCCCCCCATCCACTCAAAACTTCGTTCAACCCTCTCACTTGGAGATCCACCGGCGGCCCTGTCCGGTCCTGAGACGGAGAAAATTAAAACGAATGAAGAATCGATGGCTTTTCTTGAGCTCAAGAGCAGAGCAAACGACGACCTCTAGCTGTTGCTCACGACGAGTTGCTCACTCTTGATGTAGTTCCTCACCACCTTGGCACCTCGGTGAGGCTTGTCAATCACCAAAAGTCAGGAATGATAGGAATGTGTTCTGCATTGACTTAGATACTCCCTCCAAGGCAGCAACTTATGGGTGTGACAATGTGGATTTCTTCACTCACACGTGGAGGGGGAGTCTCTCTTTCACTCACAAGCCTGTCAACGGCACAAAATGGAGCTTTGGATTCCGTCCATGTTCCGTCACGAGTGAAAAAGGCGATCTTTTTCGCCTGGACCATCTGCTTTTGTTGGTGATCACTTGTGGGTAGCAACGTGTCACACTTTCTGGGGTTGGTCGGGGTTTGGTCGTCGTTGTTTCGTGTGGGCCCGGTTTGGTTGGTGATCTTACCATGGGATTCTCGCCAGGCTGTGCGCCCAGTCTTCTCCTGAGAGATTCTGCTTGAGATTCTTGCTCCGGGTCAGAAGGTGCTCTCGCACAGAATCCTGGAACAAATAAACATGATGCGTATTTATATATGTATATAAATGTATGTCTTCATTATGTTCATTATAGTAATTAAGTAAAATTATATAATTGTAACTTCATGACTTCATGTATATACTCTGCGGATCTCTCCTGATGCTACGAAACAACACCTGAGAGCCGAAGAGCTAGCTAGCTGCTAGCAACGGTTTGCCACGGCAACAACGCTGTAAACCTGCGGTCTTAGGCAGTAAACCTGGGAGACGCTGCTCTGCAGTGCTTGCCCAGGCACTGTTACGAGCCTTGTTGATCTCGGGGCTCTTCCAGGGTTTGCCCATCTCATCCAAGAGATTCCTGCCCAGCGAGGTGATCAGGATTCGTGACGAGTGTGCCAGGATGGTTCTTTTCGGGGTGTTCTCATCGATCAAACGATCGTTTGACACCTAGCAAGTGGGTGCAAAGTATTGCATGCTGTCATGCTGTAGGGATCTAGTGATGTGTCAACACCAGGCATGCAAGGAGATTGCATCCAATGAGGTGTCTCCATCAGCAATCTGCTACGCGCTGTGGTTCCAGTTATGGCAAGGTCTTGCTAGATTTCTGATCCTATTTTAGGATGTCTTTCCCCTTCAAAGCGTCCACGTCAGGTTTGCAAAGGGGATGTTTATTCTTGAAGAGGTCCAGGTCCATGTTCAGAATCCTTTTCGAGTCTTACAAAGTCTGTTTTGCAGGCAGGCAAATGTTCTTGCAATCCCAACAACACAAACCCTGATGTCTCCTTCTCGGAAATGGAAGTGGACGCCTTGTGTTGAAGGAAATACTCTTTACCCGAAATGTACAAATCCTGCAAGTAGCAGGTTACTGTCCATCTATGTCAATCTCAATGTTCAAGTGTTGGAGCACTTCTTGCTTCAAAAATCTCCTATACATCAAAATTCAACACCTCCATAAGACACCCTAAAATAAAACAACGATAACAAGAACCTTCCCTTCCAAAGCTATGTCATATTCATATTGGGCGACTTCAACGACTTGGATCCTGGGTCTGGAAAAAGAGTATCTACGATGATCTAAGAAGCTACAGGGTCTTAGTAGGCATTATAAACTTTAAACCCTTTCCTCTCACCATCTTTCACCAGGTTTTGATTGCAATTTTGAAACAAACCCAACCCATCTCGAAACAGCCACTCCAAGAAGTTTGGGGTTCCCAAACTTCAATTATCACCTGCCACCCTTCTTCGAACCAAGTCCTCTCTGAGAAAAAACCGGGTTCCGGAACACTCCTGTATCATCCCTTATATATAGCCCCATCATGATCCCGGCACCGGTGGCACCGGCACGTCCTGCCAGAGTCGAAGCCACTGCTCTCGCCACCGAGCTTCAAGTCCTTGTCCAGGATACCTCGGCCCGTCTCAGCCCGTTTCAGCCAGTTGACCGGTGGGAGCCGGTGGGAGGTAGAGCTGCTGGTGGAGCTGGTGGTGTGTAGCATTAGCCGTTTTCGGGGAACGAGCAGATTCAGAAGCTGTGGCTGAGTCCAGGCCATGTTTGACCCGGATTGCTCTGAAGACCAGCACGACCACTCCGTGGCTTCGCTTGCTCGACCTGGTTGGTCGTGTTGGCAAGGAGGTTGGTCGACGTTGGTCTTCGACGTTGGTCGACATACTCACTCATCCAACCCAGTCCAAAAGTCACAACTATCAGACGTGTACTGGACATGATTTGACAAGACAATCTGATTCGATCGATCCCCAAAAATAGCTACAGCCTACAGTGTGCTCTCAGGAAAGAACTTGGGGCAAGAGGTGGTGTAAACAATATCTATGCGGCTATCTGTCTCAAACCACATCAAACCACTATAGGTATCCCTGAGCTTTCCAAATCCCCAACGCCCTGCCAACAGATTCCAACCAAGGAACGCAAATTACCCTCATATTGGACCCCCAGCTGCACTCGGGGCTTCTCACCCCAATCTGCGCCTGATACAGGGATCAACAAAGTCCAAATCACGGAGTGAATGCGTCTTGGTGATTCTAAGAATATATATTCAGTTTATCTGAACCTGATGAAATAACATCTGATGCAAACCTTTGCATCGTTAAAAAAGCATCCATTCAACTACGATTCACGATCAAGTACTTAAACCTTATGATGCTGCATAATTCATTATTGTCTCATCAACTGCGCATTGCCTTATTAATTGCGACCAACATCTTGGGAAGTGTGGGTGTGACATGCCTCCATCCACAAATCCATCTGATCAGGCTGAGTAGCTCTGAGTATCTCTGAATTATATGTCTGAATCCTTCTGCTATTGCATGTGTACAGTAAGCTTTCTCCATCTCATCCGCGGAGACCCGCGGAACAAACACTTGAGGAATATGATCTGGGCATATCAGTATATCATAGTATCTCTATGCACATCCGATGTCCTGATCGACCCATAGAATTCCAACCTCCCGCCCTCCTTTCCAGCCGACAACGCGAAGCAGAGCTGACCTTTGTATACCTTTCCAGTGCCACGCAGGTAGCTGCCATCTGCGCAAAGAAGCTTCAGCCATGCGAGACACAGGGCATGATTCTGCATTCATACTCGCATATATTATACTTGCAAGTCTGTGAACATCCAACCACGAAAGCAAGGTTCCCCATGTGCAGAAGAAATCTGAACTCACTGGATCTGGGCGTTTTCAAAGAACAGAACCTGAAATAAGGAACAAAAAACACAGAATTCCTGCAAATGAAGAAACATCACCACGACTATGCTGACATCTGTGTGTTCCATTTGCGGGGTCAATGGGGTCGAGCTTCTACGCTCCAAGGCCTCTCAGGCTCTTTTCGACAGCTTCATAATCAATGACTCACCCAGAATACGTGCCACGAAAGTACATCTGGTCTAAAACGACCTGCGAACCCTGGGGGTCTGGGTCTACCTACGACCACGGGTACTCCATGGGACAGGTCGTGCACGTCCGGTCAAGACTTCGGTAAACCGTTGCAAGGTATACCTTGCATTGAATACCTTGCTGCAGTCGTAGAAAAGCTGCGTTGGTATACCTTGTGGCTTGGGGCTTGAGACCTGTTCTAAAGTTGTGCTTATGCAGAAAGTGATCAGTCCCATCGGCCCGTGTCGTCTCGTCGGTCCTTCGCCGGCCTTCGCCCGTTTTTTTCCGTCCCGTGCCTTGGAACTCCACCCGTGGAAGTCTCACTTCAGCCCCTTGCCTGGTGGAGTGGACAAGTGGACAATCAATGAGGATCAGGAAATATGTTATCTATATATTATATATATAGAGATTTAATAGAAACATGATGTATCACATACATGTATCACATGAATTCGGGACAATGTCCATTACTTCCATTCATGCTTCTCACGATATTTGTAACGAGTGAGGCAACGCAGGGCCAGGCTTAAGGCAGGCAGGGCGGCCTCTAGGACATCCTTCGTTTTTTTGTGACCAGCCACCAGCGGTCATACGTACATATATATATATATTGATATGTTCCTTGTTTTAAATCCCCATCAGGCCACCGATTTCATAGGGGAAATGGGAATGGTAATATTTATAATCTATACATTCACATAAATACCCTCAGACCGCCCTTGTTTCAACGCAACCAAACACCCGAGCCGAGCCGTCCGGTCGTCCACCAGTGGACGAAAGAAACTAAACGGTCCAGAGGAACCGTGCAGCGTTCGGACGAACGAGGCACCTGATCGGCACCTGAAAACCAACGAAGAACTTACAGGATGGGGTCAGGTTCTTCTTACTACCAGGCTATTGGGAGTGAGAAAGACACAGAGGCTAAATCCCAAAAGTCTGCTGTATCAGTTCGAGCTTATCTAGCGGAGGGTTGTTGGCATGGGCCTTGGAAATCAATGCTTCTACGTTCTGCAAGACCTGTCTCTTGTAGGCCAGCTGCAGAAGACCCTTCTTGCCGCTGGACATCTCATATCGCGCATCAACACCATGCCTGAAGTGCCGATGGGCGTCGCGAGACGACTAACGTGAAGTCCGTGAGACCAGACCACAAGACCTCATGCACAACCGGAACACCAAATGCGTTAAGTGATAACTCCTCAGTACGGGACCTGCCATAACATATAATGAACATGTATAAAAGAAGTACTAGTAACTACCAGTAGTAACTAAATGTACAGTAACTAGGCAGGGTCCATTCGTCTGCCGTTGGAGTATTCCTAGTCTCTTCAAATGAGCTGGAAGGGACCAGGCAGTAGCAAAATATCCGATGCACCCCGCTGCAACATTTTGAGTGGGGCCTGCAGTGCAAGCATCAAGGTTTGGAAGATGCTTCCTTGTTTGTCCAAAACCAGCTCGATAACGTGTGCTGCCACAAACAGAATGCGTAAATTGGCCGAGCAACAAATGCTCCGCTGTGAGCTTCAAGGTGCTACTCAGGCTGCCACTATCATCCCAAGTGGCCTCCCCTGCAGCCTTCACCTGACAGGCAGCAATGATCTGCATCTTGGATGATTTCATGATTCACATTGAACTTGGTTGAACTGGTTTTGCTTCTTTATGCTTCTTTCAGGAAACCAACATCAAGGATGAGTCAGGCATAGTCAACGTTCCTCTAGAATCTACCTGCATTTCTAGGTTTCGACGAACATGTTGATTTGCCCAAGATTGCCTTGTTCAAAGGATCATCCGTGCTCTTGTTCCATTAGCTCAGTGCAACTTAAAACAAAGAAACATAGTTCATGGAATATGCACCATCCTTTGCTCAACCCAACAGGCTTTCTTTGGAACACCAAAGTTGGGATTGGTTAATTCATTGATCAAAGCATTCGTTGGGATATGGTCAACTCTTGCAGTAGAAATACAAACACAAAACGTTTGACCGCAAAAACAAGAGTACAACATAGTACAACAGTACAACACACATAAACAAATACCCAAGCACAGTCATCTGCTTTCTTCACTCCTGCAACCCAAGCTGACACTGTGTCAGCCTATGCAAGTAAGTCTTCCCCAATCCTTCCCCCGCTTTCTTCACTCCGTCTCGTGCCCGCCCACTGAAGCGGCCACCTCTTCACCCCCCCCGCCTGGGGCAACTTCTTGGGGCTCACGGAGGCCCTGGCCTGCAAGCTGGGCCGATCGGAGCCCAACTTGTAGCGGCTGCGCAAGTTCAGCGACCTTGGCCGCTCGGTGGCCGTTGCCGTTCGGTCGTCCGAGACGGGAGCGCGGCGACCGCGGCATCAAGGCACTGGATTTCTGGGCCTATCCAAAAAGAAAGGCCTCCGATCATATGGTCAGGACGTCAGTTTACCTGGTCAGTGTGGAAGGTGTCATAGTGTGTCCCTGGCCCAAGGAGTCATTGTTGCTTGACACGATCCTTTGCCTGTGATGTGTTAACAGGAGGTCCTTTCTTGTGCATAGAAACCCAGCCAGATGAAGCGTTGTCTCAAATATCATGTTTGCACGGTAAGTCACTGAGACCTCCGCACACAGTTCAATTCGTAAGATTGGATCAATAGTATCAACTGCATGAATGATTTCAAAAATTATCCAGCCAAACACAATTAAACAAAATCACAGGATGGATCTGTCTGCAATGTTTCTCGAGAAAAAAAACACATCATCATCATCATCATCATCGTCATCATCATCATCATCGTCGTCGTCATCATCATGATGATCATGATCATCATCATCATCAAATCGAGCATGCATCGAGCTGAGATGTTGCATCAAAATCTCCAAGGCGCGAGTCGTCTGTGGCCATCTTGGGCGCCAGCTTTCCGAGATTGGCTGCCAGAGTTAAACCGATGGGCGCCAAGGACACATTCCCTTCCTGGCGAACGGAGCGACGGTGCGGGTCATCGCTCGGACCGCCGCTCGGGGTCACCGGCCTCGGCGGTGGCTTTCGTATCGACCGAGAGCTCCAGGCCCTTGGAGAGCTCCTTCTTGCCCTTCCACTCAGCGAAGCCTGGAGCAGCTGGCAGAGATATGCCGTGCCCTCTTTTAATAACAACCGACCAAGCAACAGGATCGCAGATATGGGTAATTCCTGCGGTATGTCCCGTCAAAATGAAATCCGACCTAGCAACAGTAGGATAGCATCCGTTGGGTAGTATGGTATGTGATGGTATGTGGCTACCTCTCACTCTGCCTAGAATCCACTGCCGATCTCGTCAAGACGGGCTCTAAGAACAAGCAGGCCTTCATAGATTTTGGGCCAAACTGACCGCAAACGCCTTTTGTCAAAGTAGAGAGTCTACAATGTACAACACCTTTCCATCAATCCTCTTCATGAATGTGCCCGGTCTCGACAATCTTGGCCTGAGAATTCCTTCTCTCCATCCATGTTCAAAGATGCATCTGCTCCTTGGGCAGCTGATTCGGAGTGTGTTTTCAACAGGGTTTCCAGCTGGACTGGTGACACACCCATAATTCTATGACAAGGGATATGTTGTGGCCCATTTTTTGTAATGTCACTTCGGCATATAGATAGTTTGAATCGATCATGGCCGAAATTCAACTAAGTGACTTCCCTTGGTTGCCATGAACATTATAACCCCTTTTCGGATCGTCGCAGATCATCCACTTCGGTGTGTAAGGAAATAGACCCAAACCCATTGATTGGGTCAATACGAACCTTCGACAAGTTGCAAAGCCGCAAAACCCATTGGTCGGGAGGTCACCCCATTAAAACATACATAGCCAGGACCTTCAAAGTGACCTCTTTGGAGTCTGTAAGTGACCTCTTCAGGGACTAAGTGACCTCATTCTAGGTTACCCATTGGTTGGTTTCTCGCAACTTCGTCCAATCCCCCAGGCTTCCCCCGCACTCCCCCGTCAAAGCCCAAGAGGCCGAAGGCTGTGCCCAACTTCGCGGGGGCGCGCACCTTGCCTGCAAGGCCTCGCGACGGCGAGGTGCGCGGAACGAAGAGCGAGACGAGAGAAGGCAAGTCCCTGGAAAGAGTCGCAGGCAGGCCGCGCAGTGATGTCCAAGGGAGGATTTGCTACCAGGTTACTAATATACCGTGTGTGTATATATATATATATGTGCGTCGGCATTTATTTGGTACTAAACTTAAATATATATTATGTGGGGGCCCTATCTCGTTTAGACTACTTAAGTACGAGGTCATGTCACAGTATCTCGTTCAGACTACTTTAGTAGCAGATCACACTATCTCGTTCAGACTACTTTAGTGTCATCGAGTCATCAAGCAAAAGTATCTCGTTTATGTGGGGGGCCCTATTTCGTTCACAAGCGAATACTGATGATAGACAAGCAAATAGAGCGTGCCGTAGACGACTTTAGTAAAGCCTAAATAAAAGTGGTTGCTCATATATGCATAGTGTACCTGCTTGGGGGGTATCCCCACTATTGATCAACCAACCAATAATCAAAGGCCATGCATGGTCCGGCGCTGCGTAGTTTGACTGTCAAGCCTAGCTTCAACTTTTTGCGTCGACATACACCTAGTGTTCAACCCCACCGTCCCGTGTTTTGAACCCCCGCGCTTTCTTTGGGGGGGCCTCATGAGGACTCCAGGATACTCCACGCACCCCAGAATGGTTTGGTCAGCTGCAGGGGCACATAATCTTGGGACAGGTTCATGGTTTTGTGTCTGTCTTTCGCCAAGACAAGGACAGGCACATGGGTCTGCTACAACTGACTGGTGCTTAAGAAGAAGTGAGAGGCGATCCAAAGGAATGGCTCTCGGCATCTTAGGGGCTCATTCCCACTTTCCCTAGGCCTAGCACCAGTCCAACGCGGATAGCTTCTTTGACACACTGAAACACGATAGTCACACTTCTACCCTCATAGCATTGGTTTAGCCTGAAGATGGATATATAGTGCACAAGAAAAGCTCGACACAGTGAAGGATGGGGTTCCCCTTTGGTGAAGGAACAGCTTGTTTTGTGCACCCCGAAGGTCTTCCAAGAACAACATTGCAGAACTCCACCGAGTCTGCTCAGCCAGGAGATGGTTTCAACTCCACAAAATTGATGGACAAAAAAAGAAGAGGTTCCTCTACAAACAGGCCAGGGCAACGTACAGTAGTACAAGTACTTGAACAAAAAATACTCCTAGACAGTCAAGTGCTGACCAGGCCAAGCGGTGTTTCTTGCTCATCAACGGGGCGTCTCCTCAAGGTTCCCTCGAATTTGCGAACGTTTGGATCGAGTTTGGACTCAACCCAACCTGGCGAAACCCCTTCGCCTTCGTTGGTGAGCTTCAGTTTGTACTGCGGATCCGTCGTGAGGATCTTCTTCCCGACCCCACCGCTCAGTCCTGTGTGTCTGGGGCCGTTTTTCCTCTCAAAATTGGAAGACTCTGTCTAAGACCCCAAAGCAAATGAAATCCGCAAGCCAATTGATGGCCAGCACCATTGAAAGGGTGTCCATTAAGAGTCCCTTGGAGGTCAAGGGGTGTCCAATAACCACCCCTTGGGGTTCCTGGTATAAGTTATAAGGGTATAAGACATTCTGAGCTCAGCGCGACGTATATCGCACATATGCAACCAATACATCTTCATGTTCAGACTGCACCATCCACACCATCCGCCCCTTGCCCGGACGGCTTGCACGGCCCCAAGCCGTGCATAGATGTACGACCCGACGACCCCAGTCCTTGCAGCTTACCCTTCCAAGATGCTTCATACTCCAATGTCTTCTTGTCAGATTCCGGATCGGGTTGAAAGAGGAGCACCTGACCGACCGATGCCGATGCTGGAAAACCACACCCACCCCTTCCAGGTCACGGTGTTAGTGTTCGGTGCTTCGATTCGGATCAACGGGTGCATACTTTAAGAGGTCGATGTCATCAGGTCCAAGTAATTCCACGTTATGAATACATGACCTCATGACAGCAAGAAGTTGTTGGTCTTCCTTGCAGAAGTACTTGTTGGTCTTTCTTCATGCACATGGTCTTGGGGAATAGCATAGCCGATGTTGTCCGACCCAACGGGATGGAGAACGTCGACTTGATGTTTCTCCAGGCTTGTGGCGACTCCTTGTTTGCCCCACGTTTTCTCAGCTCCCTAATATAAATTGATATCATTGATATTCGTTGGTTTGGCGTTCGAGCCATGAAAACCTATGGTTCTTCTATTTAGTAGCGTAGAAAGTTGTAGGTTTAAGGCTTACCAGGTAATTGTGTATATATATATAATCGTTATTATATATATATATATATTTATTAATAACATGTCTATATATATATTATATGCATGGACCTTCTCTTGAGATATCTGTCTTTTGAAGGCTCTGCTTTCCGAAGGTTTGTGCTTGTGCACTTGGCATCGCCACCTTGGCATCGCCGAAGTTGGTTCGGTACTTCAGTCCGGCACTTTGCTGCATCCAGTTGGGCAACACGCCTGGTGAAGGCAGCAAGGCGAAGACGGTGGGAACTGAAGAACTAAAACAAAGAAATAGAGCAGGGCCGATGTGTTCTTCACAGGGCACTGGCAGTGACCACACACTCCCCTTCCAAGTTTGCAAAGCCATGTTGTTTGCCCGTTTGATGACCACACGCCATCTGCTATCATCTGCTATTCTGTACCTTTCTGTGAACGACCATCGAAATCAGCTCTTTCTCGGCTCCGCCGGCGCTCCGCTCGCTTGCACCTTCACCACCCGAGCGTCGCTTGGCATCCACCGCGTAAAGCAAGCCTCGCGGGTGAAGCGTGAAGCCGGCTTTCCAACAGGAGCCCTGTTGAAGGAACAAAATGAGGTCTAGTCAAGTTGTTCGAGTATACTTGACAGGACAATGAACGCATCGCTTGGCCTAGTCCATTCTTCAGAGTCTTTTCCCAGCCGAAAGATCCATCGTAGACCTGAAGTGAAATTCATCGTGTACACGAAACAGCAAAATGTAGTATGGTGCTCCGCTGGAAACACGGATATTTAGAGGTGTTCGAAGGAACACATGTACACGGAGGGGTGTCTAGCAACTTTCAATCTACATTTCAGGCAGCATGGATCTGAGATCTTGCACTATGGTATCATGTTGACCTTAGTGGACAGAAAGGTGGATGTGGGTTTCCAAACTAATGACAATTGAGATGCATGACTAACACTTTGGTGTTGTTGGTTTAACGGATGTAGAAGTACGAATATCAAAATTTAACAATTCAAGGGCTTTAGGCTATTCTTGGTGCACGATGCGTAAACTGACGTGTTTTCAAATATGTTGGTTATTGTTGGTTGCTTCAATGTGAGCCAAAAGCGAAATGTTTGACAAACAGTTTGGCAATTAATGATACTGCAAAGAAGAAAACACCCCACAACTGCGACCCAGAAGCAACATCATCGCTGTTGCCAGTGGCTTGCAAGTGACGAGGCTGGTCGTTGTCTTGGCCTATAGTTTTCGTTATACGCGGCACCAAAAGACCAGCAAGCGGTGATAATAGAAGAACCCGGAACTGATTTGTGAGCGACCTTCAGAATTACCGTAAAAAATTGGATCGCTTCTACTGAGGTATCGCTTTCGGTTTTCCGGTTTCGTTTTCCCAGGACTGTGCAAGATTCTGCCAGATCTCACCAAAAATGACCGTTATGATTTTGGGAGTGGCTCACGTAGACTGCAGCAAGAACTCTTAAAAAAACGGTCTTTAACAAAAAAACAAGCACAACAACATGAAAACCAATCAGAAACACCTGTCTGCCCCATGGGTTCCATGAATCAAAATCAAAACACACTGACCTGGACATGAGATGCAGAACTCACCATTTGGGATTCAACTGGTCCAGCTTTGGCCTTCCAAGCAGGGCCATTTTCGGCATTGCTTATATAGCTGCACCTTCGCCTGATCTGTTCCAGCAGCCTGGTCTGAGCAGTCTTTCTTTCTTGCACGCAAAGTGCCTCATAAAGGCTCTGCGAGTGAATTCCTGAATTAAATAGGTTGGTGGAAGTCAGGCTCGGGCGCGGGGAGCCCACGATCTTCAAAGGTAATGACCAAAGCTCGTAGCCACGCAACATCTGCAACCTGGCGTTGACAAGCCACCGGTTGGAATTGGATCCAACTCGAACAAGGTCGCAATGAACTTACAAAAGCTAGAAGTATAGTTACTCCTTAATTGAGGTGTCTGGTTTCCAGGCACCTCCGTGGAGTCCAAAATTGTATCCAACCGCCAACCGCACATTCGGAATCTCTGCAGCGTAAGTCGCATTCGTGAGACTGTAGCATCCACTCTTTGATAGCAGACAGCCAAATCGAAGGAGCAGCTAAATGTCGCATCCAAGAGAATGCGGATTTGCCGGGCCCTCTAGAAAGCTAAACCCTCCAGTTGCAGCCTGGAGCGACGCCTTAAGGGCGAAGAGCATAAGAGTGTTGCCCATGCCAACCGGGCTGTGTTCCTTGCGGATGTGCCGAGAAGGCCCCGAAGGCTACTGGTCTGGGCGGCCTTCGTATATGTGTCGGGGCCGGCTCGAAACGCGCTATGCTCCATGTTTCGTGCGGGGATTTTCCAAAGACCCCGGCAACATCACCAGCAGCAATGTCGAAACCAGAGCTCTTGCTGCCCCTTTTCACTCAAATTGCACCTCTTAGGATCGATTGCGACATCTATCGATGCCACGGTCAAAAATGGCCTTCTGGCAGCAACTGGATTTCCTCTAGTTTTTCTTGTCGGTCGCCCTTGCGTCGCCTGCCTTATAAAGAGGCGCAATACGATAATTTCCTTTGGCAAATATGATCGAACAACCAGCTCACACCGGTCAAATTTGATTTGCCTCCACTCCGTGTGTCCTCGTTTTTCAAGAATAGAATAATCTGGCTTCTGTTCGGTTACACAGCCGAGTAGCATGATCTATCATCCCAATCAAAACAAGCTGACCCGCTTGCAAAAATCGGTAGTCGGTCGCCATTGTTCTGGAATGGCTCGAGCCACTCGCAAAAACCAGAGCACAACTGTCCAAAAGCAAGTGGTCTCGTACAAACATTTTGCAGATGTGCAGCTACCCTGGAAACAAAAGGATCTTCATGTCAAAGGCCACAAGCGCCTCATCCAAAGCTTGACCAAAAAAAGGTCTTTCGTCAGGGTGTCTGCTCCTAACCTGTTCCTTTCCCACGTGCGTCCAAGGGAACTGAAATGACGGTGGTCCGACACAGGTGGAAGATCAGGAGGCAAGTCAAACCCTCTGCTCAGAAAAAAGCTGGCAGCATGAAGCAATGTATCGTAAATGGTGTCTGAGACGCTCAACAGTCAAATACTGCTTAGCACAGCAGAAGAATGTTGCGCCAGACGCTTGCACGTCCAAACAAAAGCTGGTATGAGTATTTCTGTAATGCATGGAGAAACCACCCTTGGGCCGCGGAAGAGCTACGTTCACAGATCGCACGGAGTGCCTCCCGCCAACTTCAGCAAGTGTACTTTCAGACGTGGTATGCAATGGTCACCTTAGCGTTGCCATGGCGCCAATGCCGCCAGTGAGAAATTGCAGTGTGAGGGTATCGAGTTCAAGTTGATCCATCATGAAAATCTGTCGCAGTGGAATCTCTGTCGTGCGCCTCGAATGTCCATTGGGCAGCGTCAATATAAACCTGTTTGCCGCACACGTTCCACGCAGGAAGGCAATCCAAGCACCCCAACAAACAATCAAAAAAGCCTTGGCTCTGTGGGACCGGAGCTCTCGTATTTGCGCAGAGCTGCGGCCAAGTTCTGCTCCTGCAGTGGCCTCTCGCGCATGGCGCACGCCAGAACTTGGTGGAGCCTCGAAGGGCCGCGAAGGGCCTCGATGGACCAACAAGTCTATTGTCGAGCTTCCCAGACCTCCATCGGGAGCGGACCGACAAGGCGTTTGAGCAGGTGATGCTTGAGCCAAAATGGCTGAGCAGTCTGAGAAGAAAAAATAGCGCTTGCAGTTCTCAAAACCTCGTTACAGGCCACGCAAGAGCTGGGAAGCCACAGTTTCATGTGAAGAATTGTCCGTTTCCGACACATTGGTGACTCCTTTGCCCAATTATCAGGCCTGGGAAAAAAATGACATGCTCGCATCTCCCATATCCTCCCTCTTCCTGAGGCAATACATTGAACATACACATAAGATCACATAAGTATAGAAGGGACGTCAAATGAAACCTGTTGGTTCGGAAAGCGTTTGCTGAGACACCCCGTGACATGGTCATCTAGAACTCAAATCTCGCCCATTCGATCTGCTTCTTAGAAGCCTTCCACTCGCAAAGTCCAATCCAGATCGTTGAACTCTTCGTCACCTGTGGCCTGCCCAAACAATGGGGGCACTCCTGGTGGCGCCTATGTCCGGGTGAACATCCCACCCAAAGAAGTTGGAACATGCACTCACTACCAGGACCATCTACAGTAAGGTCACTGAGACTAAGCAGTGGGTCAGATCTGCACGGGTTAGATCGCATATGTTTTTTCATGCAAACATCGGAAAAAGCATAAAAAACAGAAAAAAGAAAACAGAAAAAACACAGAAAAACACATTAAAAAAACCAGGAAACAAATAACCTATATGTTTTTTCTATTTCAGCAACCCATTGACACACAATTGATCATGTGTGACAACAACAGAACCATTCACCGAGGATGCCGCCATGGGTGTGAGTGAGAGGCAACAGTTGACAACAAGCAAGCGTCTGAGACCACAACAGTCTGCAGAATGTTCGTGTCAGACAACGCTCACCACGAGAGTGTTTTGCATATTATATTTCTATGTTCTTTTTCTATGTGTGTTTTTAAATATTTGTTCTTACATTTTTCAGATTTTTTCATATTTTGTTCATATGTTTTTCATTTTTAAGACTTTTTAGATTTGTTTTAAAAGATTTTGCTCCTGGAAAATTATTTTGTAATTCCGAAACCCTTTACCACGAACCCCCGGCTTGTGAGATGATTTGAGATATTTTGAGATGTTTTAAGATTTTTTAGGATTTTGTTTTAAGATTTTACAGATTTAAAAAGATCTTTTTAGATCTAAAATGATTTAACATGCTTTTTTATTATTTCATGTTTTTACTTGAGCAGGGAAACACGAAAGGTAGAAACGTTTCCGGGAGCAGTCGAGACCTTTTGCCGCGGGGCAAGAAGGGCTGAAGTGTGTTATCGACTTATGCAATCATGCTAGCCCAGCAGGCGAGCCGACCAACGCTTGAGTGGTCGGTACAGAGTGAGACACGCGCCAACTCATGTGGTATAGGCCTTGGAAGCAGACTCGAAGCAAGAACCGTGATTCGAGGGGAAGGTCTACTGGACTGACCAACCTTTGGTGCAAAGGATCAAACAGAAAAAGTGATGTACGTGTGAACTCTACTCCAATGCTGGGGTCGTAGAGTGGAAGCCGGCGGCCTCCAGCGGTGGTCGCAAAGGGCTCGTTCGAGGCAATAGCGGGATCGACAGACGCCAATGGCCTGCGGAAAAAGAGGAAGCTCCGTGGAGTGTGGGGGAACATGACGCGAAAAGTCACACTGTTTGTGGCAAGTGTTCGACAAAATCCGAGAAACCAGGCATTCGCGAGCAATGACACCAAATAGGGGGTGAGAGCAAAATGAACGGGAGTGCTGCATGGAGTTTAATGGCTCCAGCCTTGCATAGAAGTCCAGCTCATCGCCGGCTTCGGTCTTTGCCTGCCAAGCTTATGGTCTCTGAAATTGAATGAACTTTCTTGGATCAGATTGAAACAAATTCTAGTATTCAAACCCAAGGAATCACATTGAAAGCATCAGCCTATGTAGTAATCCTTTGGCTTCTCAGAGGCATCAAGCCTCAGGGAACTACACAGGCCGCAGGGCTTTGCAAGCAGGAGTGGCACCAAATGATATGGAATTCCGGCCACTCAGGATCCACAACAAACCATGTCTGAAGTACCCAAGCCCGGTGCAACTTCAGCTTGAAGAAAGGCGCAACTTTAGCTTGAAGAAAGGTGATGTGACAGTATCCTCCTACATTTTATCCAGAAATAAGAATACCTCCAGCGCATAGATAGTAAATTCGTAAGAAGACTAAAGCACTGGGAAAACAGACTCCTCCACAACGTCGTGTGCAAAAAAAAAAGTGTCGGTCAAGTTTGGTGCAGGGCTTGCTTGAGAGGACTGAAGAACAGCTTCCTAACTCAGTTGAGCCTCGCGATGCCCTCTTGCAGCTTCTTTGCCTTTGGAGCCGGCTGTGTCGTTGCAGGAGCGCGGGTGGGTGAAGACAGGCCACGAAACCGAACAGTTTGGCGGCCACGCCGTCTGAACTAGACTAGCGTTCACCGAGCAGTTCGTCGGAGCGAATGCAAGGCAGTATGCACTCTATATGCAAGGCAGTCTGCGCCTGAATGTACTCATCCAGGGTCATGTCGAGCATGGCCTCCCAGCAGGGCACATGTGAAGGCTAAATGGAGGGTCTGTGGAGAAAGGAAGTCAGCAAAAATCGCTTATACAAAGTTTGTGCAGCAAAAATACCTTCCACGAAGTTCTGCGAAGGTTTCTGAAATTTCGTTGCCGTCAGTTCTCCTACTGGCCCACCATTCCACGAACTGTCCACGAATAGCTTTGGGTTCTACGAATGTCCCACGCCTTCCACGCTGTTAGTAGAATAGGTTTTTGCAAAACCCTTTCTGAGCACTACCCTTCCGTTTGCCTCTGAACAGGGAACGGGACCCAAACAGAAGAGCAAGCAGCCGACGCGTAAAACCCGAAGCCTGCACACGCTGACGCTTGGACGGCAACATGCGAACGAAACAACGCCGTGTCTGCCGGACTGCTTGGGCCGAAACAACGCGCTGTCTCCGAAGCAATCACAACCCACTTTAAGAGTATTTGCCAGTATCAGGTCTAGTGCACGTTTGATATTTTTGATATTGATCAACCATTAACGCCAATGCAAAGAAATCAGCTGCGCGGGAAAACGAGACCAAAACATCAAATGACAGTCTGATGGGTCTGTCTGGCTGTTCCACGGAGTCCGTCTTTCGACCCAAACCCAGAGTGCCTCCTTGCAACACATTCCGTAGGCGGGTGCATGCGTCACATCAAGTAACGCTAGTACCGAGTAGTGTGATGATGTGGGGGGTGACAATCAGGCACACCATGCCATGAGCACAACTCCAAACATGTGTTATAGATCAATACAATCGATGCTTAGACAGCTCTGTGGTATGCAGTTCTGCCAGGGCACACGGTTTCGGGTCAACTTTACACAAGCTGAGTCGACGTAACGCTAGTACCGAGTAGTGTAATGATGTGGGGGGTGACAATCAGGCACGCCATGCCATGAGCACAACACAAAACATGTATTATAGATCAATACAATCGATGCTTAGATATCTCGAGTCGACTTTACACAAGCTGAGTCGACGTAACGCTAGTACCGAGTAGTGTGATGATGTGGGGGGTGACAATCAGGCACACCATGCCATGAGCACAACACAAAACATGCAGTTCTGCAAGGGCACACGGCTTTACACAAGCTGAGTCAACTTAACGCAAGGGCACACGGTTTCGGGTCGACTTTACACAAGCTGAGTCGACGTAACGCTAGTACCGAGTAGTGTGATGATGTGGGGGGTGACAATCAGGCACACCATGCCATGAGCACAACACAAAACATGCAGTTCTGCAAGGGCACACGGCTTTGCACCAGCTGAGTCAACTTAACGCAGGTACCGAGTAGTATGATGATGATGATGAGAGGGGGGGGGGGGGGGGATAAATGGGTTTTTTATATAAGGATGTACAGGGGGGGGGGGGGGGGGGGGGGGGGTGTTAGACATTGATCTATCAATCTTTAGTCCCGAGCAGGCTCTCAAGCCAGTCCCTTTGCTTCGCAAAGCAAACTCAAGGTAGTCCTTACCAGGCTACCTTTCGTGATATTTATTTGCTTATATTTATTTCATTTTTTAAAATAGTTATTTCATTTTTTATATTTATTTCATTTTTTGTATATTTATTCCATTAAAAAATTATCTATGTTTCATTAAAAAAAAAACATAGCTGATCTAGACCACTTGCAATCTGACCCACTGCTTAGCGTCGCTGATAAGGGGCTGGTACCGGTCACAATGCAAGCCTGCTATCAAATGCATTGACGGATGCAAAAGCTCCAAAGCCCGAAACAGGCCAAGAGTTCAAGCCCGAGACTCGACGTCCTGTTCAGTTCGGTGAGGCATGGTTTGTGATCATCAACGGCCGGCCATGACATGCCGAGTGCAGTACTACACGGTCGAGATTTCTCGCAAACGGATCAGGATCCTGCGACGACCCAAAGAAAAAACACGAACGCAAGCTGCGAACGAATGACTATCAAGCAAACAGAACTACAATATAGTTTGAGCATTGATGGGAAACTGATCATAAGAGTCATTGGACATTTGCATGATATCAATCATTGAAGTCCTGACAGAAGTCAGAAGTAGAAATGCAATGGTTCCAACAATCCGTGATTTTTGGGGTGATGAATGATGAAACAGCATTTCTATGCATATTCTATTATCCAATTCTAATGCACCTAAACCGTCTCCGATTCGAAGTCAAGTCTCTCTCGAGATGAACATTACTTTCCAAACCCGAAAACAGGAAAATGCAAGCAGCAGAATTAGATGAGGTCAAACGTGTTCCCCTCAGACTCAATTTGACGAGGAACTCACATTTCACTGAGAAGGCCCCTTCCGTTCTTGGCCATATACAACAGCTTCCAACAGCTTCAGGGTGGCGGAGTTGGGGCAAATGTGGAACAAAGGCTCTTGTCATTTCCTGTCTTGGGTTTTTACCCACATAGCTGGTGATGAATTCTGTCTGAATGACTCGAAAAGGAACCCAGCGATCACGGTTTCTTCGAGCGGCTGAGAATTGGATTCGGTGATCCCCCAAGGGCTTTAGTTCGCTCTTCCTCAGAGTGCAAGCTGGGCCAAGAACATGTGGGCATGAACGCAAGCTGCTTGAGCTAGAATGAGCTAGAAGCTGAAGGGAAGTGTTGCGAAATGCTGGGAAAGAGGAACATCACCAAATCATATCAAATCATAGGACACTCTTGCACACTTGGAACCCCTCCCTTTAGGTGCGCTACGAACCTGTCCAATTGCTTCCTAAAGGTCATCACTTGAATCGACTGATAGGAGATTTGCAAAGGGGGCATAACAATCTACACATGGGTTTGGGCATACAGCCAGGAAAACTGCCGCACACATTCTCTGTCGAACAGCTGATGGGATTCAACGAAGATGCTCGATATACTAGCAAGACTCTGCTATCTTAGGCACAGGGTGTTTGAACCCCAGGATGTGTGAGATTAGCTGATTTTCTCCTCACACTAAAACCCCTAAACACCAAACAACTGGTTGCAAAGGTCTCTCCCATGGTGTTCCAACATCACCTTGGCATTTTGTCTGATTCCAAGGCGCTTGGAGTCGTAGTTCAAGCCATACACCACGTTTCCGCCATCTTCACGTGCCACAAAGAGTGCGTTGGGCGTGGTGTTGGTGTTCTCCGTGGCCCTGTCAGGTGAATAAGTTGGTGTCAGGCGAGTCTCGTGGATGCTTGGCTGCTGGATGTTCAAAGAACCGATGGCCTCCGCTTCATTTCCCCAATAACTCTACTTACATCACTAACATATTGTATTGCTTGCTGAGCTTGGCCAGCGAAGACATCACTTATACAAAGCCGGACCTAGCTTTGAGACTGGTTGAAAGGAAAGCCAAAGGACTAGCGAGGGGAGGGCTGGTTGATTTGAGCTACAAAGTATCACACCCTGTCTGGAAGGAGTGGCTAGCCTTCCACTCAAGTCTAAGGTCGTATCGACATCACTTGGCCAAGGGAGTTGTTTGTCTAATTGCCATCTACCTCTCTATACATATCTGTCATTGACCCTCTCTAGCACTCCACACGACATCCTCTCAAGTCCTTTTTCTTGATATGTAGACCAGGTGTATGCATGTCTGGACTATGGATGAACCGGTTTGCTTCCACGTGAACCGACCGACACCTTGACCGTGATGCGCACCGGACTCGCCTCACTTGCCATTGCAAGGCGCCCTGGGAGACGGTGTCCACGGCGAACTTAGAGCCTGCAAGGCCTTGGAAAAGAAGCGCAATCATCCCCCCCCAACTCGTCCGGGTTTTTCCGATCAAGTCGGCAGTCTCCTTGGGGCAAACCAGGGGGCTTGGGAAAGGGAGTCCAGCCCTTTGAGCCTTTGAACTATAGTTGTCTTAAAGTATCATACGTATATATAATGTACATGGCAATATAATACATATATATATATATATGCATGAATGTATCTGTATATCTAAATATCATTTTTCACGAACGATCGTATATGGCGGAGTGTGCTCCCCAAGTATAGATCAGCAGGAAACGGAAAGGGAGAATGAACACGAACCAAAGCTTTGAAACTGCGCCACCATGCTTTGCACAAAAGAATGGCAAGTGTGAGCTTGGTTGACTTTGCCATCATATTCTCGGGACTCGGGGTAGAGGTCAGGTGCCGAGGCTGAAGGTTTTGCTTTCATAGCCTGGACATGAACGAAGCAAGCTCCTGAGGACTCCTGATTCCATGCAAGGACGTGGCCTGCAACGGATGGGATCAGACCTCTCCGCCGTGCTTCTGACGGTTCCAAGGTGCGAAAGCTGTGTGGTGAATTCCAGACCTGTCGACGTTCGGACGACATTCGACGTCAAGCGAAAAGAACCCCCAGTTCCAAACAGCAGTCGGAGTAGACGCGAGTGTTGGAACATGTATGGAACCTCTATGATCTGAGTTTTGGGAATGGAGGTCCAAGGAGAAGGGGGGGCTGTAGAGTTCTTGTAACGTTCCTTTGTTAGAGAGAGTGTTTGCTTGGCGGCTTTGGGATACCCAATGGATAGTCGTGTTTGAGCCATACGCAGCCACTCTCTGCCAGCTGGGAAAGAAATCGCTTTTTAAAGAACAGAAGGGAACACCTGATCATATGCATGACGCTTTATAACAGAGGGCCATTCCCCAGGTCCGGCCGTGCAGGAGATGTTCATGTTCTTGCCATCTGTTGAGCAAACCGACCTCATGAACGACCATTCCATGCAACGGATGCTTAGGACAAAGGAAGACCTTCCATCGCCACACGTCGAAGATTCCGACACGGACCCAACTTGGAGATCCAACGACCCCAGGGTCGCCCATGGCCCACTCCGAAAACGGGGCGTCGGCGTTGCGCCTTGATGTTCTTTTCCACCCTCAGTGAACCACGGCATCGCCGCATGGATCGATCCCAAGCGAAGCGCTGACGGCGCACAGACGGCGTGACGTGGAACGACATGGAACGACCCCTTTTTTTCCGGTGACTGCTTAACAGGCTTAAAGGCCCCAAGAAAATGCCATGAGACTTGTGATCCAGCACAGAAAGAGCATGCATGTTGCTAATTCACGTACTAAGGAGCCATCCCAATTAGCTGATTCTGGAAAAGCAAATAATACAATAAAATATAAAAACTCCATGCACCTCTATTCCATGTATTGTAAACTGTTCGACCTAATTATATGGACGCATTGCATGAGCGCTCCGGCCAGCGCCAGCTCGCTCCGCGATGCTCGGGGCGTCGCTCGGCCCCACAAATCTCTTGGGGGAGAAACGCAAGCAGAAAACGCCGAAGGAAGTCACCTGCGAGGTTTCCCAGTTGGGGTTAGAAAACAAAGGGTTTGGTCCGAACAAAAGATGCGGGACACAAATGGGAAAAAACAGATCCGCTCCCACGTCGTTTTCGGTCCAGGCTGCTGTTGCTTGGCCTCTTCCCGAGTCCAACCCAGCAAGGTGCGCGAGTGAAGGCCCAGCCACACCAGTGACACCTGGGGTGACGCCGATTGGCCCGAAAAGAAGCAGAGAAACAGGTAAAGGTCACCTGCTCTAATAGCTTCTTGCTCCTAGTAGAAATGCCAGGAGCTACTCATAGCTTCTTGTTACTAGTAGCGATCCGCTTGTAAACTCATATCATCTCTTATCCTTAGTTCGCCAGAAGGGGACCCCATCCTCTTAGTACTAGATAGTATACTAGATAGCACTGGCAGCCACTGGTGGAGCACAAAATCGCCGGGAAAAAACAAAACAAACAAACAATAAGAACAACAGCAAATTCCTTCTCTCTTGTTAACAAGTACAAGAACTCTGTCTTGGCCAAAGCTGAATCAAATTGAGGGCAACCATTCATGATTCCAGACAATGGCATAGCAAGCATACATTAAATATATATATATATATATCTTTCGATTTGTTGGAGAAACACTAAAGGCACTTCTGATTCTTTCGCAAGCCCCCAACTCCGCTACCAGCAGCTACCCGCTGAGAGGAAAGAACCCCCCTTTCCTAATTCAAGCTAAACACCAACTCCTGCGATACACCCAAAGGTACCAAGTATGATAAACAGCTGAAAGCACATACCCCAGCAGCTGAAGCTCGCAGCATCTCCACAACATGACACAACATGAAGCAGCACAAATTTGACCCCTGTGGATGGTTGCTCAGCCATACTGAACACACACAGGAACACATCTGCCTGGGTAATCTCATCCAAGTGGCGCAAAGGAAAAGCCTCCTTTGTTGGCGAGCCATGGCGTCTGTCAAGTCAGTGGCGCAACAGGTGGCGACTGAAAAATGAGCCAAGCCAAGCTGCCGGAAAGGAATATATACCCTCAAGAGACTTCCCGACGAAAGGACACTCTATCCCCCACCTGCCAATGGACACATGGTTTTCCGACCTCTCTCGTACGCGTCGTGTCATGGACTCGTTTGGATTAGATCCAACCTAGTAGCGTCCTTGTTCCTAGTAAGGCCAGGAGCCCCGAACGTAGCGTCCTTGCTCCTAGTAGCGACGCCAGGAGCCCCTAGTGCTATTGTCGTCCCGACTGTGGCTTGAGTTTGGTCTTATCCGAAGAAGCACGCCTTTCTCATCGTTCTCGAATATTTGACCCGTTGCCCATACTGGGTCCACCCTATTCAAGATTCATGACCAATCATCGCTCTTAGCGCCTACAAAAGGGACTTGCTTTGCCTCTGTGAATCTACTTCAGAACCTTGGGGAGAACATGACAATTCAGACTGTCTCAGAACATGAAAACATGCGAGAACATCCAAGAACCATCAACATCATGCACCAGTTCCACAGGTTTTCGGGGCTCCAAACTTCGCACCTTCCACCAGCGGCTCCAACTGCTTCCTTCGGGCAAGCGGCCAGGTGCCATGAAAGGAGTTATATAAACGGAGTTGGTAGTGAATTTCACCGTGAACTATAATCTGCACAATGACAGTTAGTAGTTATGTTGCGTTGTTGTTGTTGTTGTTGTTGTTGTTGTTGGGAGGTCTGGTGTCTGGCAGTCTGGAGAAGAAATGGACACATACGGAAGAATGCCGTGGAAGCAGAATCTGTAGGATATTAGACATTGTGGCCCTGTATGTTATTTCATGCTATTTGGATACTTGTGATCACCCCAATTGCAGGAATACTAGTGCTGCAAAAACCAAGCTGATTCATCAGTCAGTGTCACAAAGTTCTCATCAGAATTGAGACAACTCCATGAACGAAAGGGTTGACCAACATGGGGATTGCGGATCTAGTCGATCACATCTCTAGCCAGTTTCGACTCGCACCCTCCTACCCCTGCCCACTCATTGTAATAACTGTGTTGGTCCCACAGTAGAGTCTTTGAGCATCTTTGAGCTCAAGCTCCTACAACTTCACCAAACAAAAAGATCACGTAGTCTTTACGTTCCTGGGAATCGTTTACCCCCCAAAAAAAGGACTTGACGAAACGACTCCCAGAAACTCTGCAAGTTCGAGGTAAACTGAGTCCCACGGCGGCTCACCTGGCTCCCCCCGGCCGGCTGAGTCCAGCTCGCGGTGGCCATCGCCATCGGTGAAACCGGGACTAGTGGGTGAATCGAACCTGTCAACAGAAATACGGCCTGTTGGGTCCAAAACCGCTCCCTGGGCCCTTTGAGCTGGGCATTGATCCACTTGCCAAGAAGATTCACTTTGAATTGCTACCCACTTGCCACGGACATGTCGCTACTTGAGGTGAGACGCCCAGAAAGCTCTGGTTCGGCCGGAAGAACTTCTGTGCAACTTCAACACGATGCCAGTGCCGCTAGTCGGAGCAGCTTTCTTTTGAGAGTGAAATGCCACACACCCAAAAACACCCAGAGCCAGCATCATTCATCTGGCGTGGCGCGACTAACGAAGGCAAACAAACACACTTAATTAACCTAATGTAATTTCTGCTTGATGAAGGTAGAAAGCTGCGAAAATGGGGAAACATGCACATGTTTTCAATTTGTTTAACCGGGGTTCAACCACGACAAGCTGTCAATGTTGAACGTCACAAACTGTCCAAAGCTTGGATCTGCCGTGAATCTCTGCTTCACTACTACAGCTCGCCTTACGGATGACTGCCCAGACGTCTCAGAGCTCCCCGACAAAAATCAGCAAAGTGAGTGAAAAAGCCTAGCAAGACTTCAAAGGTAGATTTCAAAGGGTTGCGCTGGCTCACTTTGACCCACACCTGGCACCTCCATATCCCGGGCACCTCCATATCCACTTCTTGTGAATTGGATCCCTGCAACGAAGCAAGCGAAAAGCAGTTTTTTCTGAACCAAAGAGCAGCAGATGCGTAACTTTTGGAACGCGAAGTCTGTTTGATCTAAGGAGTCTGCCAAGTTGCTAGTACCCCCACTGTTGGTTTAAGACGACTGAGTGATCCTCCTGTGGGAATAACATCGGCCTCCTCTCAAAACACCTTACCTCCACCGCTGCTAGTCATCCGCAAAACACAAAAACATACAACAACCAAGCTGTTGTCCAAGTGGAAAAGGAGAGACCTATCTGATCGATCGTGTAATCTTATGATTTCTGTTTGTCTGTTTTAACATCTGCCATCTATGTGAGCACAAGTTCGACAAGTTTAACAACATATAGATTGGGTCTATCAGTCTATCCTATTACCTGTAGCAATGGATGATGATGGTTAGTAGAGGCCTTGTCCAAAAAAAAAAGATAATTGTTTACTGACTGTTACAGGTAATAGGACAGACCCAATATATGGATCGTCTGTCCCTTCCCATGTCCGTGAAGCACATGACAACATGGAGGTGCGGTGCACGCGACACATGCGTCCCGTACACAGCGAGGCAACCACCACGTCCACTTCATCCTGGATGACAACCGGATGAAGTTCAGCAGCTGAAGAATCACCCTCTTGACCGGCAAGAACCGGCAAGAACCGGCTTACCGGGCCATCAGTGACATGAACAAATAGTATCCCTGTACCAGGAGCAGGCTGTGGAACGTACCAGCTGGCATGCCCCGAGATGAACAAGTAAGACAACTCACCAGCCACGGGACACTTGTGTAACACTTGCACATGTGGCACATGCCAAAAACAAGCCAAACATAAAACCATCGCACTGCTTTCTCCCAACAAAACACCTGATTCCCCAAACGAAACATGACACACGTGCTGCGTCCAGGATTTCATCCAAAGTCGCTGTCCTGGCCCATCGGTGGATCATGGTGGATCGGTTCTTTCGGCTTTTTGCGGGGGTCATCCGTTGTGGTGCATCATCCGTGAACTGTCTTCTGGATGTGGTGGATCAAACATGAACATGCTTCTACTCCTCAGAAAGCGCAAAAATCCTCCATCCCCACCTCCACGGCCGCGGTAATGACCTGGTCGAGACTCCACCAAGTGAAATGGGAAGCGATGCAACCGAGACGGTGGATTCATCAAACCTAAGTAGATAGAGCTATCTAGCTCGGCCCAAACAAAAGAAACACCACTCGGATCAAACCCAACAAACTTAGGATAGACTATCAGCATTACAATGTAGACATCTATCATTACAATAAGAAGCATTACAATGTAGACAATGTAAAAGCAATAAACATCTATCAATACAATGTAGACAATGTAAAAGCAGAACACGAGAAGGACACTACTTAAGGTGAAGAACCACCCGTCCGACCCATATGTCCCGACTTGGTTACATACGTTGGATTTATATATATAGTGCGTTGCTACGTTTTGCTTCAACCACAGGGACAGCACAATGCCTAATGATTCATGGTCCACAAAGTGAAAATCAACCAAAGGTCTAGCCATGCTCAACCAGCAATGGTCTGAAACGGAAAAAGCGCAAAGCATAGCAAAAGCTAACTGAGTCTCCCGCAGCTTTCATCACATCCTCATCGATGACAGACTGAAACGCACATGAGCTGGCGTTCAAGTGAGCCTGGCTCTGGCGAAGGCAACGGACCAGCTCAGCTAGCCAGGCGAATGTTGGATCCTCTAAAACCATGGTTCGGTGATGACATCGATATCCCCTCAGTCACGTCACGTCTCGGATGAATTGTCCGTCCCACCAAAGTGGGCGGGAGGCTCTTGCAGTGACCTGTTCTGCTGTTCTGCGCTACTTGATCTCAAAGAGAGTGAACAAAAACAACATCAATCAAACTGCTCCATATTGTACATTCCTCGCCATATGTTTTCTGTTCTTGGAGGGTTTACTCCCATCTGATTCCTGTGCTTGCAGCCAAGCTAGGATACGTGTGTACAAATACTGGCCAAAGTTCTTCAATGTACAATGCGGAACGGACGGCGGCCTAGTTCCACACGTGCGTCTGTTACGTATGGCTTCACAGCAGTTACAGTATATTTGTTGCCTTGAGAATGTTCAGAATTGCCAAATGGTAAGCTTACCGCATGTTCAAAATTGGAATCCGGCGGTGTGAGACATGGTAAGCTTGCTGCTTCTCCGGAACCATCCCCTTAGAACTGTGTATGAAATATGTTGCTTCAACCCATGTTGAATTGTAACAGCAAAGGGTAGACGTTGTATTTGTGTTTACGGATATGGTTATTGTATGTATATATATATGTTATTGCTGGATGCACTGGATTACTTGGATATAGCACCTATCCAGTATACATCCACCGAATGCCAATCCGGCGCATGAAACGCTGAACAGAATTGCTTTGTAGACTTGTAGATGCAATGTCGCTCCTGTCCGATCCCAATCTTGAGCAGGAGTCCTTCAGTCCTGGAGCTTCGACAACAAAAAAGAGGCAACACAACATGCGTGCCCGCATGGGCTGGCTGGCGCCATTCCCTGGTCCAAGAAACATGACTTCCAGCCTCCCTTGGTCGTCACATCGCAGCTCTTTCACCCGAAGGTCGGGACCCGCTCGGTGCGCCGGTGCGGCCGCCTTGGTGCGTGACACCAGAGTCTCCACGGCCGCCTCCGGATCGCTGCCTGAGCCGCTGAGGTCTTGAAGGGGTGGACAGGATGGTGAGGAGGATGGTGTTTCAACATACACTGAAGAGCCAAAGGAAGAGACGGGAATACAAACATCATCAAACGTAGATTGTCACTGTCATAATTCTACAGGTTCAGGTGAGATCTAAAGGTGAGATCTGTAGTCCAAACTAACTGTCTGGCTATTTGGGTGCGACCTGAAAACGATCTTGTGGTTGAAGTGCAACCACAACAAGGAAAGGGCCAGTGCCGCTTTTGTTTCTCAATATATTTTAACTGTATATATATATATATTGATATCTATTAATTGCTATTCATTATATATATATATATGTTATCTGTTGATTATTTGATTGCCAATTAGTGGACAAATAAGATCTCGTCAAACCTCCCATAACATGGTGCACTTTGGCAAACTTCAAATTTGTTTTAGACCAAATCCGTTGCCAGAAGGCCCCGAGCTTGTCATGGCGAGGAAAGCCAACAGCATGACCAGCTACCAACGTGCCTACGGGCCTAGATTAGATTCCCAGTGAAGCTACTCACACCCCAGATGCCCTTGAGCTCTAAAGACATCTCAACAAACAATCCTTGATGGTTCCCTAAGTATAATTCATAGACACTTCTTTCATGTCGTAGTCTGGTGTATTATGATGACGATGAAAGCTTCGGTGAAATTAGGTGTGAGAAGGATTGACGGGGGAGAGAAGACGCTAACACCCACTCGACTCCCCAGCAAGTGACTTGGGCTCATCTGCGAGCTTTCAGCTCATCTCTCATGTGTTTAAGAGAAACGCAGGGCCAAAAGTGCTTGAGGCCCTTGCAACTCTCGAGGAAGGAGGAGATCAACTTGGCAGCCTTACCAAGCACAAAGGATGTCGTGTAGTTAAAGGAATCCGCAGGGCTGGTTCAATCCCATGATGGTCAATGTTCTCAACATGTCTCAAGTCACCTCGAAGACTTGACTCTCAAACATCAAGATCATGAATGGAAGCTAATTTCCATGGTGTTGTTTCCATGGGGAAAAAACACAAACTTCGATCGGTTTCATGATGAAACAGCAGGTCAACCTGCGAGCATCCTCGAGAAAAGGCGGTCGACCTGCGGTCGTACGCAGTCCACGCCTGCGGTCGTACGCAGAAGCCCAAGGCCAGGAACTCGCGAAGCCATTCTCTCCTCGGTGAAGCGCACCCAGCGGTTCGCTGAACCCACCCATTCACCCCTAAAAGCAAGCCCGTTAGGGCATGAGGAGTGAAGCGAAAGAACGAAGCGAAGCACATGTTGTTGCTATAGTTACTTATTGTGTTGTTATTATTGGTATGGTTGTGTTCTTCTTGTTAAATGTGTTTTTCTTGCCAACCCTGCCATTCTACTGTCTTCTTGTTACTTTATTCTTCGTTGTTGGGTTTTGTTAGTCTTCACGAGTTGTTGTTGTTGCTGCTGCTATTCTTCACACTTGTAGTTTTTGCTGTTGCTGTTGATGAAGGTTGGTGGTGATGCTTGCCGGCTGTTGGTTCGTCCCTGTTCAGCTGTGACTTGCTGGTGTTTGTGTTGTTCTTTTTGTTGCTGCGGTTGTCCCTCTGATTGTTTTCTCGTTGCTGTTGTCGTTGGTGTCGTCGGCGTCATCGTCGTCGTGTTATAAAAAATCTTTCATACGGTAAGGACAGAATCCTTGATAAAAAAAATAGAAGTCAAATGGAAAAGTCCAAATAAACAAAAACGTAAAAAAAACATCCGAAATAAAGTCAAACATAGACCACAGCTCGAAAAAGTAAAAAAGCAAAAAAAGTCGAACAAAGGTCAAAAAGATAAACAAATAAAGTCGAAAAAAAAGTCAACATCAAAAAAAACAACTCGAACAAAAAAATAAACAATTCAAAAAAAGTCAACCACTCGCCACTCGAAAAAGTCCAAAAAAAAGTCAACAAAAGGTCGGTAAAAAAGTAAAACAAAACGTTGAAAAAAGGTCGGAGAAAAAAAGTCAATAAAACATATATATAAAAAAAATCGGATCTGTGCAAATTGACTTTTTGTTGACTTTCTGAAACTTTCTGATTTGACTGTTTTTGGACTTTGACTTTTGGGATTGACTTTTTTTTGACTTTTTTTTTGTTTGAAAACAGGCTCTGTCCAATGAAAGTTTTTTTATAATCGTCGTGGTTGCGGCTGTGGTGGTGATTGTAATTGTGATTGTGGTTGTCGGTTGTTTGTTTGTATTTTGTTTCTGCTGTTTTTGACTGTTTTTTAGTATGAGCTCACCGTAGCCGCACAGCAAGAACCTGGCAAAGGAGTGAACTTAGCATGCACAAGACATGAAAATTGCAGAAATTAAGGGGTATAAAAGAATGATAACTGATCACTTATATTCTAGCAATACATCCTATGAATATCCAATTTGTCAAAAATAACAGAAACAATATAAATATGATAATGGAATTTGATCTACAGTACATATATCTACTAACTAGGTGATATTTTTATCAAGTCTGGGGCTCCAGCTGGTGCATGGTGCCAACCCCGAGCAAGCAACACTACGCCACCCGTAGAGCCGATTGCGGACACAGTTCGCTGCTCCCAGTAGGTCTGCTCCCAACTGAGCAAGTGTTCTCTATAACTTGACATTGACTTGGGACATATTATACCAACAGCCACCACTGTTTCAACAGGGTCTTGCAGTGGATCTTCCAAAGGTGGTATTTCCTTCGGAAAGACATATTGCGCAAATGAGCGACAGGACCAGCAGGTTCCGAACCCCAAACACTGCCAACCAAAAGCACCTGAAAGAACACCAAACTTTCTTCTCAACGTTTCTCAACTGCAAACCTGCACAGCTTTCTCAAGTTCTTCGAAGGCTGGACATAGGGGCTAGGTCCGACCCTCGTATGACCGATGTCTCACTTGTTGAGACTATATTGGGTGTATCCTATTCCCTGTAACAGTGGATGCTGACCATTCTTATTAGAAACGGCCTTCTCATAATATACTTGTATACTGACTGTTACTGGTAATGGGACACCCCCAAAGACTATATACTGAGAGAGAGAGATAAAATTCTGTCTGGCACTTCTGCTTTCGTGTAAGGCCCGCTTCAAACAAGTGTGTGTGTGTGTTGGTTCGTTTGTTTCAAGGGAATTCATCTGCACAAATGAAGAACTCAACACCTATTGAATAGTCTGACAGCTGAAGAACCAACAAGAACTGAGCTACCTAAACAAGGTGGGCTTCTTGATCTTCCGCTATAATATACGGAATCTAAGCCTTCTAAGCATCATGGCGCATCTCTCATCAGCTTGGGATGGTTATGGTTGGTTCCTCTCTTGCGAGAATCTCGATCCAAGTTCTTTGCAAAGCTTGACAGACCTTTCACCATACCGCTTTCGAGGATGTGTTCAGTGTCTTTCATATCCGGGGACACCCTAAAGCGCTCGTTCCCTCACCGCCTCTGACTCTTTGAGCTCCTGGAGTAGTGGCGACACAAGACGGCTTTTGGGGGTGTTCTTCCAGGACACTTTCGTCTCACCTGTGGAGGAGCGAGAAGTTGGTGAGACTTCGCAGTCAGCAGTGGGATGTCTTCTATAATAGACATCTCTGTGTTTGAGGTTTCTGAAAAGACATAGATTTCCATAATCTCTATTTTTGATTCTCTATGTTTGATATACTCTAGTTCTTTCATAACTTTCATAGATCATGAGATTATATTGATACGCATAATTATCTAGACCTTTTCTGTGGCATCGACCCCACCATGTTCATCCATTTTCCCGATGTTCTGAGACCGGAAAACATATTAATCTAAATATCTATCTCAGGTGTCAAGGCTTTGGCAATTTCCAAAGGGCATTCACTTTCCATAACATTTGTATATAGTCACCTTCGCTCCCAGTACAATCGCTTGCGAAAAGCAACTCCACCAGAAACCACCTCGCACTGACAGTTGACCAAGTTGACCCGCCACTCAGAATTGACTGCTACAAGACACCAAACATGAACGCAGTCGCTGTCCCTCTGCTGAGCTTCTTGTACTTCCTGCTTACGTTTTGACAGAAGTACTGTCGACTGAAGACGCGCAGCGCTGTCCTCTCTCGGTCTGAAGACGTCATCTGCAATCTCTACCTGTCTCTGTATCACGGACCTTCAGTCGGACCTTCAGCATGTGTCACAGGAAATGCTGTAGATCAAAACCGGTGTACCTGGGTTTTTTCCCAACAGAACATGAACAGAATGAGGAGGTCGGTCCACCTAATAGGGTGAGTTTCCGGGGTTCCGAGTGCCATGACGGGTTGAGGCTGCTTGACTCAGTCAGAACTTGTGAGGCGTTGCTGAGGTGAAAGAACGGATGCTGACAAGAATGACATCTTCAAAACTATCAGGAAGAAAGTGAGCTCACATAGTGACCTCCTTGCCAAGTCACTCTAAAAGTGGCCCCTTCTTCAACTTTTGGAGGCGGAAGTTTGATCAAAGCTGTGAAGAGTTCTTGGATTATCGCTGAAACAACTACCCAACCAATTACCTTTTTTGAAGTCCAGCGGTGCAAGGGATCGTCATGTGGGGTCAGCCTACATTTTGAGGCGCAGCCACTGAGCCAAGTGACCCCAACAACCACTTGTTCACCCTCAGCCAACATTCAGCTCTGCTTTCTTCGCCTCTCTTCTCTCGTCAGGCGGCGCTGAATCCTCCTGCGTTCTTGGCAATGCAAATTCATGATGCACATTCAACTCAGGATGTACTGTAACTATCATGCAAACATGCTGATTTGGAATCGTCGTTAAGCACATCATCCACCTGCCAACATGAAAAAACAGCAGCAAAAAGAACTTGTTTAAACAAAAACAAATGAAACAAAAAACAAACGGTTATTTTTTAACACAATCAACGGGCAAAACCAACAAAAAAACAACAAACACTTCAGAACACAAGACCAAACATAACAAATCTCAAAGCAACAAGAAGCATCGGACACTTAACGGCACACAACACAAATTCACAATTCATAAACAAAAAACGGATGAACAATTAAAATGAACAAAAAACAACAAATAATAAATTGTAAAAAGGCACAAAACAAATGAACAAGCAAACAAGCAAACAACACAAGTGGAACAAAACAAATAAAAACACGTAACGCAAATGAGTTAAATTCAAAAAATACATGAAAAACAACACTTGCAAAGAACAATTAATCCAACAAGCAAAAACACACATAGAAAACAAATCCACAGACAAACAGACCAAACTGTAGCAAAAAACAACAAACAGATTTAAGCACAAAAAAACCAGTCAAAAGAAAACAACAAACAGTGCAAAAGCAGCAAAAGAGCACCTGAGAAAAACAACACATTATGAACAACCAAGGCAAGTATCAATGAAAGTAAGAAACAAACAGCAAAGTCAACAATCCAAAAGCCTATTACCCGTACTAATAAATAAAAAACAAACAAAACTAAGACCCAAGGAACTATCTCAATCAGCTAAGTAGAACCAAATTCAACAAACATACATCAAAAACAAGCAATCAGCAATCACAAACACACAACAACACGCGTTATGTCACTATGTTTCTATCGGATTGGCCATTGTTAAGTTTGGTTGATTAGATTAGATGATTAGATAAGATTTCCACTTGATCCAACAACAACAGTGACGGCAACGACAAAAAGACACACACGCACACACAAACACCGCTGCGCCCCTTTTTATAGGCCAAGTGATGGGCGCAGCTAGCCGCTAGCTAGCCGCTACTAGCTTGTTTTCTGGCCCCCAAACAACATGCCACAGAGGTCAGAAGCACACTGCTCTTGCTACCCAGCTGCCTGGCGCTGGGCCTCTAGCCCCGTTGCCTCCTTCCTCTGTAGGCCCTTAGCTAGGCCTAGCACAGCCACTCCTACCCGTGCGCCCCGAGGCAAGCGGCCAACCCAGCCCCCGGCAGGACACCAAATACGCGGGGGTGAGAGATCCCCGCCCTAGGCCCGGGCCACCCCGAAAGGCACCAAATGGCAAAAGCTGCAAAAACGAAAAAATATGCGAACCAATAGGACGACCAGCCACATATGCAGAAGCCAAACAAGCCAAACACTGCGCGTCTGTCTTCCCTGCGTTAGCAGCCCTGAAAAAGCAAAACATCGGATGGGTTTTCAACGTCGGTTTTGAAGGTTTTACGTAACCTCGCTGTGCTACTGCCCATCCCATCGCGTGGTTTTTATGTTACGTCGGTTTTGCCATGCGTTGGCAATTGTCATGTGCGTCGGTTCTCTTTATTTTTTTGCGTCATGAAACAAGCTGATTTGCTTTCTTTGCACGGCTTTGTTGGAACTTAGTGGCTATTGTTATTATAGGTTGTAGTACTAAGTTAACCTAAGACTTGGCATATTTGTTTGTTCATTTGGCTGTCTGCTGTCTCCGTTGCTCTTTGCACTTGCTGTGCGTGTGTGTGTGTGTCCACCCCTGGGCAAAGGGTTTCTTACCGCCAATTCTCCACCCCAGTTCCACAGGCAGGGGCCCAGCGGCCGACAAGCAAACGCTGGCTAACAAAGCTATGCTTGCTCGGTGGATGCGGTCGGAGACGTCTGACCGTGTACCTGCAAAGAAACTGTTGCTCACGCTGTCCACTCCTTTGGTTTGTTTCATGGTGTTTCATGTCTTCCTTCCCCTAAACAGGTTGCCCACCGCACCTTTCAGCAACCTGTGCACCGCATTTCGGCCGCGCGAGTGAAACAATTTTCGACATTTCAAGTCACCGGACCTTTTCGCCTTGCTGTTCCATCACCTTCCTTCTCAGCTTGGGAACTGAGTTAACTGAATACAATTGTCAAAGTGTGTGTCTTCTCTTTTTTGTTTTGATATGGCATGTGTTTTATCATGTTTCTGTGTTGTTTTTGACATGTATAATGTATTTGCGTTTGTTTCTTTCATTGTTTTTGTTGGTTCATGTGTTTCTTCCTTTTTGATGCTTTATTAACTTTTGGGGGGGGTGTTGTTGTTTCATTTGCTGTTTGAACTTATATTGACAATTAATAGTTGTTCTTTGTTCCTTTTAGGGTTTATTTGTTTGCCTTTGCCTTTTCATGTGCTTTTTGGATGTGCCTTTTTGTGATTGTGCGTGTTCATTTGTTTGCTTTTGGATGTTCTTTTTTAGCTTTTCAGTGCGTATTTTTTTGCACTTGGAACACACCACAACTTTTTCTACCACTACCAGACCTCACGGCCCAACAACTCCACCAACTGCTCACTCAATCTTTCCCCGCCAACATACGACGAGCTTACCCATGGGGTTTCCGCAAACAATTCCACACACCACACGGAGTAGTCTTCCTCAAACAAAAGAAGTCATGGCGAAAAGGAAGAACAGTCATCAGCTACTTCAAATCTATAGCAGGCACACTGTTGCGGGCCACCTCCAAGGCCTTGGACATTATGCTTCTTCATCTTCTGCCTCAACATCCAGGCCAACTTTCCATCCCCAACCTATGGCAACACCTTCACAACCACTTCCAGACAACACCCGACGACATTCACCTCACACCGATCAATGATGACCTCGTCGGCTTCTTCAACAGTGTACCTCAACAACGTCTCGTCGACGCAGTCATCAGCCTATGCAATCGCTGGAAAGCCCAACACGCAACCACCACCATCACCATTGACGTCCAATCCACCGGCAATCCCATTCAACACTCCCACATTGGTCGACACTACATTCACCACCCACAACAACGCACACTCGACACTCAGCACATCCCCCTGATTGTACAACAAGCCCTTCAATCATGCATTTTTCAAGCCTGTAACACTTACTACAAACAAATTCAAGGAGCAGGCATTGGTAGTCAGCTTTCACCAGCACTCTGCAACGTTGCAATCACGCTCATCGAACACACCTGGCAAACCACCTACCACACCTTTCTGCACCAACCCAGCCTTCACCTGCTCAACACACGCTACGTGGACAACCGCTATATCCTGCTCAACGAACAATACAGATCAGCACTCCCCATCACCACACTGGCCCATCCCGAATTTTATGAACACCCAGTCGAAATAGAGCCAGTGGACGACGACCATCTACTCGGTTTCCTGATCGATCCCCTCAACAGAACCGTCACTCTTTCTACTCCCCACACATCCCTGGCAGATTCGTGATCCGCAGTCAGCGGGGAGTCACAGACTACGCCTTTCAGGCTTACAGTCACGCCACCACACTTTACGAAAATACACATTCCCACAGCACCTCGCACCTGCCACAGCACAGCAGTTGATGCAGCTCTATTTGACAAAAGGTCATTCCAAAGAACACTGCGCCGCGGCGCTGCGGCCACGAGGAAAAAGACCATGCGCCGGCAGATTCGCAGTCCTTCACTTCATTTTATAATTTATAATCTACAAGTTCCTTTTCGACGTCCTGCCCTACCACTATTTATTACACTGGTATTTTCTGATCCGGTCTAGTTGCGCCGATTCGGCTCTTTGTGTGTGTCCACTCCTGCTTCCAAGGACACTACCCTAACTCTATCTAACCTACCCTACGATTTTTCTGACCAATGTACAGCAGCAGGGGGCACGGCGGCCGTTCACCTAGCCGTGCTAACAAAGCTATGGTGTTCGGTTGGAAGAGATACTGGACGCAGTATCTTGTACCTGCAATTTTAATCTTCATTCATTGATGCTTCTAAGTCAGTTCAACGCTGTCTCATACGTTGTTTTGCAGTAAAGTGCTAATGCATTCGGCTAATGCAGTAACTACTCTTAAAGTGCTAATGCACACCGCGACGCAGCCTGAAATCGCGCTCCACGGAGCAACCTTCTCAAGTGTGTGTGTTTTTGGTGTCCTTGTTCAATTGTTTTGTTGCTTTTTGGATTTACATTTTTGGCCTTTGCTTTTCATTTGCGGTTTTGTGTGTTTACTTTTTATGTTTTGCTTTTGCTGTTTAATTTGCTTGTTCTTTTGAATTGCTTGTGCATTTGCTTGTTGTTTGTTTTTGTTCAAGATTCTCAGAGTTAGCCTCGGTCCGGCGAACACAAACACAATGGTAACGTTGGAGCATTGGTTCATCTTTCGGTGCGCATGTTGCAAACTAGTGTTCAGGGACAGCACAAGAAACTTCATTGAGTAAAATTACGGAAAACAATAATGATGTATATAACATGTACGAATCGTGTGAATTCCGGTGTGGTACATGTGAGCTGCCGCAAACCTT